AAATAAAATTAAATAAAATTAAATTAAATTAAATTAAATTAAATTAAATTAAATTAAATTAAATTAAATTAAAAAATATATATATTATTATTTTACTTTATTTTATTTTATTTAAATGAAATAAAATAAAAATAAATTTTATTTAAATGAAATAAAATAAAAATTAATTTTATTTTATTTTTTAATTGAATTTAATTTAATTTAATTTAAATTAAAAAATAAAATAAATAAAATAATTAATTAATTAATTAATTAATTAATTAATTAAATAAATACATTTTATTTTATTTAAATGAATTTAATTTAATTTAATTTAATTTAATTTAATTTAATTTAATTTAATTTAATTTAATTTAATTAATTTAATTTAATTTAATTTAATTTAATTTAATTAATTAAATTTTATTTTAAATGTGTTTGAAAAAGTATCTTATGCTCACTAAGGCTGCATTTGAAAAATACAGTTATATTGTGAAATATTATTACAGTTAACAGGCCCCTGCAACCGTGCAGAGGATAAAGTGGTTTGGATGGATGGACCTTTCTATTTAAAGTTTTTATTTCTTTATTTTTAATGTAATTTATTGCTGTGATCAAAGCTGAATTTTTAGCATCATTACTCCAATCTTCAGTGTCACATGATCCTTCAGAAATCATAAATGCTGCTTTTATTCATCAAAAAATCTTTAAAAAAGAGCACTAAAAATAATTGATAATTGCTCAGCAAATCAGCATATTAGAATGATTTCTGAAAGATCATGTGATTGGAGTAATGCAGAAAAATGTAATAAAAAAATCTTAGTGTATACATTATCTTACATCTCTGATCTCTATCATTAAAGTTCAGTGTCACTGTCTGTGAATATGTTTTAATGATAGCATCCTATATTGTGCTTCTCTGTGTCCAGGTAATGGACAACATGGGTAATGTGAAGTTCTGTCTGGACGGGGCTCTGGAGGTTGGCGGGAGCTGGCTCAAATACGTGCGCACTGCCCCTTCCCATGAAGAGCACAACCTGGCCATATGCCACATCAGCGAAGATCAGGTGAGCTCTGTTGTTCTGTCACTTCCCTTTCCTGTCGTTCTCGCTCTCTGATTGGTCGTCTGCTCCCTCAATCTGTTGCATCGACTGTTCCTGCTGAGATTCTAGTGTGTCTGAGCTCAAGAGAGCTCTGAAAAAAGTGCAACTGGCATCATTATGATACAAACTGTTTTGAAATTGTTTGGACATTTTTAGATATTTTTTGAACATTTAGATCAGGGGTCGGAGAGCCCATGACATAACAATATTCACTCATCCTACACGGCCATGCAGCCAATCCTAAAAGTGTTACTACATAATAAATACGTAATTGTCATAAAAAAATATTTTAAGAAAATTCCAGAAAAAAATTGCATCAAGAATGCATTAACTGAACAAAAGTGAACGTAAAAGACTTTTATTTATTTATTTTTTACAAACAACTCAATTTTGAATAAAAGCTGTTCTTTTGAACTTTCTATTCATCAAAGAATCCTGAAAAATAAAGCATGTCAGCACAACTGTTTTTATAGAAGATATAAACTTGCAATTCTACCTTTTTTATCGCAATTATGCATTTACATCTCGCAACTCGGACTTCTTTTCTCAGAGTTGTGTGATATAACCTCGCAGTTGTGTGTAATAAAGTCAGAATTCTGAGAGAGAAAAAAAATCTGAATTCTGAGATACATTTTTTTTATTCAGTGGCAGAAATGGGCTTTTATAGTTTTTAACCTTAATAATAATAAATAAATAAATAAGTTTCTTGAGCAGCAAATCTGCATATTAGAAAATGCTTTCTGAAGGATCAGCTTTGCATCACAGAAATAAATTACATTTTAAAATACATTACGATAGAAAATTATTTTAGTTTAACAATATCGCAGCCTTCTTGAGCATAAGAGGCTTATTTCTAAATACATAAATCTTACTGACCCCAAAGTTTCGAATGGTAGTGACCTGTATATTCTGCATATTGTGTATTTTAGTATGTCTAGAATGTTGTATTGACCAAAGGCCGTCAACAGTTTATGATGTAAATGACTAATAACAGCATGAATGCATCAATTCTACACTTGCACCAGAGTCATAAATGTACACAGGTATTGCAAGAGCACAGTTTACGATACTTATTTTGCTAGCTGTTATTGAAACACATTATAATGTGGGAGCTACAGTATAGTATCAGTTGGAGCTGTTTTTAAAAGCACTATGAGAAGGTCAGCAGACAAACATCTAACACTGACCATCCTGTGAGAAGCTTGAAGAGACAGTGAGCACATGTTACTGTCAGGAAGATGAGGACAGAACCTGCTGCTGTCAAGATGTCCCCACTTACACAACAGATAAAAACAGCCCTGCTCCCTGCCTTTGTCAGAGAAAGTGACTCAGAAGTCATTTACAAGAGTCACGTACAAAGCCAGTTTGGACACTCCTGAATCTTGTAATCCACTGTCTTCAATGACTTGCTTCCTTTGAAAGGACGAGCAGTTGTGTCTTTAAGATAAGATATCTGATCTCTCATAAAGCTGGAGATCTCCTGACAGACTCGCTGTCTGACAGGAAGAACGGTTGCGTGCTTACTGTACGCTGGCCTTGTTCAGGGATTGTGTTGATGCAGCGGCGGCGGTCTAAATCTGATCATGAAGCTCTTGTGCGGTAGTTGCTGTTGAGTGTGGATTGTTTCCTTTGCTTACATGATATCTAACTGATTAAGTGTGGGGTCCTTGGTGGTTGACTTATCTAGCTTGTGCTCACTTTCTAATTTAAAGGGACAGTTCACTCAAAAATTAAGTTCCAAATAGTTGCTTTTTTTCACTGTGATGCCATAGAATAACATTTGTGGTCAAGCATTTAGTCAACGGTTTTTAGAAGTGAGAAGGAAATTTTAATAATCTAAAGAACCTTTTGACACTTTTGTGTCATCAAAATGTTCCGTGGATGTTAAAGGTTCTTCATGGAACCTCTGATGCCAATAAAGAACCTTTATTTTTGAGAGTGTATTGTCATTGTAAACCTGTGTGACTGATTTTCTTCCACAAAAGGCCGGTCTTTCCATACAAAATAACAGATTGTGGACAGAGAACGCAAAGCTTCAGAAATGACCAAAAAAGTTAATAAATGTTGTCTAAAGCAGTTGTGCGCTACACTTTCCTACTGATTTTCTAAAGTCACATGGTAGCTTCGTGTGAGAATGAGATCGATTACATATTCCCATCCACTGTCCCTGCTAACAGGGAACATTCTCAGAACGTTCTCTCAAAGTTACGAACGAACGTTCTTCTAGAAATGTTAATAGAATGTCTGTTTAAAACTAGCTGGTCTTTAATGACATTCTCAGATTTATTTACACATTGTTCTTGGAGAGTTTCTGGTTACACTTTATTTCGATAGTCCACTTTAGACATTCTAATAACTACAAGTAACTTTGTAACTACATGTCAACTACATGTCAACTAATTCTCATTAATTTGCAACTACATGTCTACTAACTCTCAGAGTAGACTGTTAGAGTAGGTTTAGGGTTAGTAGAATAAGTTGACAAAGAAAGTGTTAGAAGATATTAAGCAGACAGTCTACTAATACTCTACTAACTGCTAGTTGACATGTAGTTGCAAAACTACTTACTGTTAATAGAATATCTAAAGTGGACTATCGAAATAAAGTGTTACCGAGTTTCTTTACTGAAATGTTTTAGTTGCAGACAATTCAAAATAAAAGTTCCTATTATTTTTCCTCAAACGTTTGCATAACCAAGACTAATGTTTGCCATTAGTTAACTACATTAGTTAACATGAACCAATAATGAAAAATCCTTCTAAAGCATTTATTTATCTCAGTTACTCTTACTTTTAACATGTACTACATTATTAAAATAAAAAAAAATGTTTAACTAGCGTTGTAAGCTAAGTTAAATAATGGGTTACACTTTATTTTAAGGTGTTCTTGTTACAGTGTAATTATACATTTAAGTACTGAGTAATATTAAATAACTATATGTACTTACTATATGGTTAGGGTTAGGATTAGTGTTTGGGTTTACTTGCATGTAATTATGCATAATTTATTGTTATTATATAAGTATGTGTAACGTGTAACAAGGACACCTTAAAAAAATGTTACCAAATAATGTTAATGCATGAACTAATGTTAACTAATGGGACCTTATTGTAAAGTGTTACCAATTTGTAATACACACCCACCCACCCCCACACACACACATTTTAGAACATATTTTTCTTAGCTAGGATACTCTCAAATCTCATTTGCGTTCTCGTATAATCAGTAGCGTACCGTGGGCTTTCAGTCAGGGCCTTCAGTAAGCAACTGTAAACTACATACCCTTACACATCTATCTTACACATCTCTGTAACAGCTAACGCAGCCATATGCATATCATTTGCATATTATGCCGCACACAGGCTCTCAACAACAATGACAGCTGATCAACAATTTCAACAGTAGGCTAGATTAGGGTTGGTTAAACGCAGAGTAAATTTCCCTACATGGATCAGTAAAAGTAACCCACCAATAAAATGACGATGCGCCCACAGCAGCAAAACTGTACAAATGCTGGACATCCACACACCACGCCACAGTATTATCAACGCACCACGTACGCATCCATAACAATGTGCATGATACAATACTCGTCAAACAATAAAGCACTCACCTGTCTCTTGTAAATAAAGTCCGTGCGTCTGTCATTCCATGTCCCTTTACTCGTATTAAAAAGTAAACATGGCCAAATAACTTGTTAGTTAGCTGTTAGCCACCATAGCACTCATAGTTGCAATCTTTGAAATGGCGCACAAAACCTTTGTTAGCGAATTCAGTTTGGGTGTAAGTGAAAGTGACGTGACGTGGCCAAGTATGGTGACCCATACTTGGAATTAGTGCTCTGCATTTAACCCATCCAAAGTGCACACACACAGCAGTGAACACACACACACCGTGAACACACACGGAGCAGTGGGCAGCCATTTTTTTGCTGCGGCACCCGGGGAGAAGTTGGGGGTTCGGTGCCTTGCTCAAGGGCACCTCAGTCGTGTATTGAAGGTGGGAGAGAGCGCTGTACATTCACTCCCCCCACCTACAATCCCTGCCGGTACGAGACTCGAACCCGCAACCTTTGGGTTATGAGTCCGACTCTCTAACCATTAGGCCGTAGTTTCCTTTCTCAGTTATTGCTCTTTTGTCTGCAAAAGAGCGCCTTGAAAAAGGCATTTTTAGTAGATCGGCAACAGGATCTGGTGTAGGCGCCGGCGACTGCGTCTGTCATTTTCTTTTCATTGAATTTCACTTTCATACCTTCCCAACTGAACGCTGGGGGTAGCACTGGGCACGTCGCTAGACCCAGAGGGCGTGCTGTCATTGAACGTTAAAATTTGATAGGCTGATGATTCTAATGCTCACTAATGCTCATTACAAATCAGATGCAACTTTTTTTATATAGGATATTCCAGTTCAACCTCAAAACTAATCGAAACTAATCATAGGCCATTCTCTGGACATTACACAAATGAAAATGATACCTAAATAATAATAATAATAATAAAAAAATATATATTCACACAATTTTTTTTTTACAGGGCCAGCAGAGAAGGCCCTGCTGACCCTGACGGCCCACCACTGCGTATAATCAAATATAGCATCTCAAGATGCAATTAACAGCGAGATCTATTGATGCTATTTAGACCACGCCTCATCATCACAACTCATCTTGATGCTGTATATTTGAATTAGAACATGAGATTTCAAAGTCAGGACATTCTGCCTCAACTCTTTTGTGTTCCACTGAAGAAAGTAAGTCACAGGGGTCGGAAAAACCACGAGGGTGAGTAAATAATGACAGAATTTTTTGGGGGTGAATTGCTCCTTTAAGTGTGCCATTTCGGGGGCTATTTTAGATTATATGCATAAGTGGATCACTTTCCTTGTTATTATTCTGCCACTTTTAGGCTGTTTGTCTCACTTAAAACAAGCTGATTGACTCGTGGAACAAGCCAAAGTCTTAGCTTTTGTCTCGAGGCTAACGGGGGCAACTAGTGTGGCCACCGCAGTTTTAGAGACTGACACATAAAACGCAAGCCGACAGGAGGAGAGGAGGGACAACCTCTGAGACTGACAACCACCAATTGACTTCAACTACATAACCCAATCATTAAAGTCGTTTCAGTTCAATGAGCGGCCACCGCTGGGCCCACAGGAGAATAATATCTCCAGCTAAAATCGCCCCACTAAATACATGCTTTCTATTTACTTTCTCCCTTCTTCTGTTGTTTTCTTTTTATTCCTTTCTTATCTTTTGTACACGTTTTAGCCGGTCTTACGGACAACAGCCTATTATTTATTCAGAACGGCGGCACAATGCAAAAATGCATAATTCATTGAACTTTGTACTTTGCTGTTCTATTTGCGCATGCACAATGCATGAGCCGTATGGAAATATGCACACGCCCAGCAAATTCTGATGTGCCTGTAACCTTTTAAAATCAACCGGGATCATTTATTTACTTGTTTGCGTATTTGTCTTTGGCGTTCGGGCCCCTCAAAACACGACTCAACTGTGTAGTGCTGCATTTCACTGTTTTAGGTCTTACGTTTTAATGTGTTTTTTATGTTATGGCTGTCGGTCGAGATGTGAATGCTTCTAAATAGCAAGAAAGCAGGGCGAGGGTGTTAGTTCCCACGCTTTGCTTTAAAACTCAAAAATCGCCTATGTTTTTTTGTGTTTATAGTAATATTTGAAAAGTATATAATGTTATTTATAAAGAATTACACTCATATTTTGTAGTTCAAAGGGTTTTCTTTACAATGAAACCAAAGTCAGGACATTCTGCCTCAATTCTTTTGTGTTCCACTGAAGAAAGTAAGTCATAAGGGTCGGAGTAAATAATGACAGAATTTTCTTTTTCGGGTGAATTGTTCCTTTAAGTGTGCCATTTTGGGGGGGCTGTGTTTTAGATTATATGCATAAGTGGATCACTTTCCTTGTTATTATTCTGCCACTTTTAGGCTGTTTGTCTCACTTAAAACAAGCTGATTGACTCGTGGAACAAGCCAAAGTCTTAGCTTTTGTCTCGAGGCTAACGGGGGCAACTAGTGTGGCCACCGCAGTTTTAGAGACTGACACATAAAACGCAAGCCGACAGGAGGAGAGGAGGGACAACCTCTGAGACTGACAACCACCAATTGACTTCAACTACATAACCCAATCATTAAAGTCGTTTCAGTTCAATGAGCGGCCACCGCTGGGCCCACAGGAGAATAATATCTCCAGCTAAAATCGCCTCACTAAATACATGCTTTCTATTTACTTTCTCCCTTCTTCTGTTGTTTTCTTTTTATTCCTTTCTTATCTTTTGTACACGTTTTAGCCGGTCTTACGGACAACAGCCTATTATTTATTCAGAACGGCGGCACAATGCAAAAATGCATAATTCATTGAACTTTGTACTTTGCTGTTCTATTTGCGCATGCACAATGCATGAGCCGTATGGAAATATGCACACGCCCAGCAAATTCTGATGTGCCTGTAACCTTTTAAAATCAACCGGTTTGCGTATTTGTCTTTGGCGTTCGGGCCCCTCAAAACACGACTCAACTGTGTAGTGCTGCATTTCACTGTTTTAGGTCTTACGTTTTAATGTGTTTTTTATGTTATGGCTGTCGGTCGAGATGTGAATGCTTCTAAATAGCAAGAAAGCAGGGCGAGGGTGTTAGTTCCCACGCTTTGCTTTAAAACTCAAAAATCGCCTATGTTTTTTTGTGTTTATAGTAATATTTGAAAAGTATATAATGTTATTTATAAAGAATTACACTCATATTTTGTAGTTCAAAGGGTTTTCTTTACAATGAAACAATTTTTTTTCATTTCCTCCATTGTATGAGTGTAGGGCAAACATTTGAATTTGAGAATGAAAAATTTAGGCGAAAATACCTAATAAAATAAAATGATTTTTTGTTGTGTTATTCCAATGGGTGCAAAATTAACTTATAAACCGTGTGAGCTTATGTGCTCTTGTGTAAAAGTATATTTTTGAAATGCTGCGGACCACGTAATTTGCTGAACTGATGTTATCTGCTTTGCGCGGAAAAAGTGTAATCTGGGTTTTGGGCCAAACTAAGAGCAGCCTATACACTCTGAGACAATAGGCATAGAGCGGGTGGATGAATTCTGGCTTTCGCACAATGGCGCGGTCCATTCAGCAAGACTGTTGACCTCTGACCTCCCTCCCTCATCTCTCAAGATGCACTTAAACTGTTTGTCAGAACAACTGAAGTGCACAGCCAGATCTGCCATGTCATAGCCGTATGTTTCTGAAGGGCTGAGGACATGCGCACACACACAGTTAAATGTGTGTGTGTGTGTATATATATATATATATATATATATAAAAAAACATGACTTTTTTTCATTGTGCATTCCAATTAATCTCAATCAAACTGCAGTCGGGTTATTTTGATTAGGTTAAAAAATAACTAAAAAAATACAGCTAACTAACACAATAAAAACATGATTTGAACTGAGTTATCTGTTTTTGCAAATAAACTCTTCATATGCACTATACATTACATATTCATTATATTTATACTGAACCTGTTCGTCAGTATTTTATGTACACTCTAATTAATCTGACATGAATTAAATTATTCAACTACATTTTTATTATATAATAATGTTTTATTATAAAACTGCCTTACAAATCACTTTTTTTATAGTAATGTACCAGTTTATTGTTTTATTAGTTAGAGTTTTGTACCTGATTGCCTATAGATCCAAATGAATCGATATCGAATCAAGATCAAACCTGAATCGAATCGTGAAGTTCGTCTCAATCCCAGCCTTAATAAAGCACTGACAGCCAATCAGAATCCAGCGAGCTGCAGCATGTAAAGCAGCAGAAGCTGAAGTGTGTGTGTGTAATAACAGCAGGTTCTGGTCTGCTGTGAACGCGTCTCTCACCCGTAGATCAGGCAGTTGTTCTCCCAGCGGTAGCGCATCTCCAGCACAAACTCCTGCCACAGGTGAGCCACGGCGCGCACTCCTCCGTGATGGAAGTTCACCATACAGACACACAGGGCCAGACGGTACGTCAGACTGTCGCTCGGAGCAGACTTCAGCTGATTATAGAGGTGCTGCTGACAGGAGAACACCGTCACATCATCACAGAGACGTGTTCAATCCTCTGCATCTGAGCCAGTGACTGACGGAGACTCACGTGATCCGGTTCCTGCGTGGATCTGACCTCGCTCCAGTCTGCTTTATCCAGAGCTGCGTCCGGGAACAGATACTGATGGACAAACACAAGCACGGCACAACAGAGGTTTATGATGCTGGTGGAAAAGGGCAGAAACATCCAACCCTCCAAACATGACCTGCGCTTTAAAAACAGAGATGTTTGTTCACACAAGCCTCATATTTCTGTCCATATCTCTCTTATGCACATACATCTTCCAAACCAGAAATCTGCATCATTGATTCTGTTATTTTCCTGTGTAATACTGTGAAGCTGCTTTGTAACAATCTTAACTGTATAAAGTGCTATAGAAGTGAAGGTGACTTTGACTATGTCTAAACTGGATGCAGTAAAGCATATAAATATATATATATATATATATACAGTATAAGTATATATACGTATTCACCTACATGAGCCCACAGTAAAACACACAAGATACCCCGTTTTACTGTATTATTACCAGTATGGGAGAAAGCTACTTTGAAAAGTAATGCATTACAATATTGTGTTACTCCATAAAAACAGTACTAACTGCATTACTTAGTTACTCTTTATGTAAAGTAATGCATTACGTTACTTTTTTGTTACTTTTTGTCACCTGAGCTGGGCTTGCTTATTTATTTTTAATTACAAAAAAAACAAAAGTTATATTTTTGGAAACTGTAAAGGCCCTTTCAGACCAACAGTGAACTGAAGGAGACGTCGGTCTCTGCACTCACTCCTGATTTATCAGTCAATAAACAGAAAAACAAAGTAACCTGCGTTACGTATTTGAAAAAATAACTCCGGTATTTTCTTGTAAATTTAAAAATAATGTGTTACTTTACTATGTACTTGAAATACAGTGTCCCTGGAGCACAAAAGCAGTGTT